AATGGCCTCACTCCCAGGGTATTTGGGTGTACTGCCTTTGTTCATGTCCATAAACAACATAGAGGGAAGCTAGATCCCAGATCCATCAAATGTGTGTTCCTGGGTTACTCCTCCACTCAAAAAGGATATAAATGTTACAACCCCTCTACCAGAAAATTTTACATCTCTGCAGATGTCACTTTCACAGAAAATAAATCTTTTTTTTCTAAGTCCTCTCTTCAGGGGGAGATTTCCATGATGAAAGATAGTACTTGTGAGCCCTTTGAACCACTTAAAACCCTTGACTTTCCACATGTGCCAGCCCGTGTTGTTGAACCTAGATCAAACTCTCCTCCTATTCCAGCTGAACCCGATCTGAGTCACTTGATCCTGAACCCTTATCATCTCCTACTCCAACCAGTGTCACTAATGATTTCCTGAGATTTTCTCAGGTGTATTCAAGGAGAAAGGTTGTTCCTGAATTGACACAAGTCCAAGAATCCAATCTACTCTATCCACTATCTCACTATGTATCTCTCAAGCGCCTATCACCAGCCGACAAAAGATTTATTGTGACTATGAACATCATTGACATTCCTAACAATGTGTCTGAGACATTGACAAAAAATGAATGGAGAGACGCTGTGAAAGAGGAAATGAGTGCTTTAGAAAAGAATAAAACATGGGAGATCATTGACAAACCAAAGAAAAAAAAATATTGTTGATTGCAAGTGGATTTTTACATTAAAGTACAAGGCTGATGGATCCCTTGAAAGATATAAGGCAAGGCTAGTAGCCAAAGGGTACACTCAGACTTACGGGATGGATTATCAGGAAAACTTTGCTCCAGTTGCAAAAATGAACACTGTGAAAATCCTGTTATCATTGGCTGCTCACTTCAATTGGCAACTACTACAATATGATGTAAAGAATGCTTTCCTTCATGGTGATTTAAATGAGGAAATCTATCTGAACATCTCTCCGGGAGTTGAAGGGGGTACATGTAACAAGGTGTGCAAGCTGAAAAAAGCTATTTATGGGTTAAAACAATCTCATAGAGCATGGTTTGGCAGATTTGCAAAAGGCATGAAAGAATCTCGGTATAATCAAAGCCAAGGTGACCACACTCTTTTTATTAAACATTCAGCTGCAGGGGGAGTGACTGCTCTTTTAGTCTATGTGGACGACATCATAGTGACTGGAAATGATGAGAAAGAGAAACATGAATTGAAGCTGAGACTAGTAAAAGAATTTGAAATCAAGCATCTGGGGAAATTGAAGTACTTCCTTGGTCTTGAGGTGGCATATTCCATAGGGGATCTTCATATCTCAGCAGAAGTACGTGTTTGTTTTATTGACAGAAACAGGGAAGACTGGGTGTAAGCCAATCGCTACTCCAATAGATCCAAACTATAAGTTGGGAGAAGCTAAAGAAGAACCAGCTGTGGATAAAAGAATGTACCAGAGATTGGTTGGCAGACTCATATACCTTGCTCACACTCGACCAGACATAGCATATTCTGTAAGTATGATCAGTCAATTCTTGCATGATCCTAGAAAACCTCATCTTCAGGTTGCCTACAGGGTATTGCATTACTTGAAAGGCAATCCAGGGAAAGGAATCTTGTTTAAAAGGAATGACACTCTTACTCTGGAAGCCTACACCGATGCTGATTATGCTGGCTCCATAGTGGATAGAAGATCAACTACAGGATATTGTACTTTTCTTGGAGGTAAGCTAGTGACATGGAGGAGCAAGAAGCAGAATGTACTGGCAAGATCATCTGCAGAATCAAAGTTCAGGGCTATTGCTCAAGGATTATGTGAA